GAGGTGATGTGTTCGTAGGGGTCACTACAGCCATCGAACTTGGCCAATGAGAGAGGTTTGAAACCCTCTGAGACAAATGCACCCATATCTCATCTGAGATTGGCTAAGGCATAACAGTTCCATCTTTTTTGGGGTAAAATTTTATTTTTCAGGGAACAAATGTCAAACACGACATCCTAGATAACTACTCTGACAAGATAAATATCCTTTCAGATTATTAGAACAACTACTTAAATATCCTTTTAAATTATTAGAAAAATTACTTAAATAACCTTTTAAATTATTATACTTGATATATTTGTTTCATTAATAGCCATTTAATTTTACTTGGTAATCTCCTTTTCAATTAAAATCTTAGTTGCATACGTTTTGCTTCTGCGTCTTCTTTTTGTCCTACGTCTTCTTCAAAGTTACACACATAATTTTCTATTTATATCATATAAGAAAAAGTTAGTAAATTAAAATTAAAAAAATATATATTTATAGGTATTTGCAAATACCTGCAGGTATTTCAAAATTAGCGAATACCCATCTGGTAGATACACACACAAGTTTGAGGCGGGTACATGTATCATATTTACTCAATGGAGCGGATAGCGGGGAGTAGTACATGTGCCATGGATATACATTGTCATCCCTAATCAGAAGGTAAAGTGGTCCGATAAAGTTATAAAATCATAAATATAATTGAACCGATTAAAATCAATGAGACCTAATCGATTCACCGATCAAACTAATGAACTGATGCATTTCTTAAATCAATAGATTGATCTTTTTATATTTATTTTTTTTAACTTGTCACAACATCGTCATTTTGAAAAGAGAGTACAAAAAATTTATTAGTTAAAAGAAGAAAAAAAAAAAAAGTTTTCCACTCCCTTATATTGAAAAAATCTTATGAAATCTATTATAGTAGTGTTATAACTTATTTGATTTTAAGTTATTGTGGACTAATTTTAGACCTTATCTTATTTTATTGTTTTATTATTGTGTTACATTTTGATTTTTTTAATTATTTAGCATTTATTATATTTGAAACTTAAAACTTTACATAAAAAATTTATTCAATTTTTTCATATAAATAATTTCAAAAATTTTTCTTTCGTAAATTTTATAATTATTAAATCTATGTCAAAAATTTTATTTTATGAATAATTTTTCTTTTTAATTTATATAAATTAGATTAACACTCATATAGTTTAATTATTGAATTAGATATCCAACCGATAACCCACTAATCAAATAGCTTATCCGAATTGAAATCAATCCAAATTTTAGAATATTGACACCAACAGGAAGTAATATTTATCATTTTAAAAAATTAGTAAAAGCCATATTTAGATTTAAAAAAATTAGTAAAAGATATATTTAGGCTATGTTTAGTAAAAATAACAATTGACTAATAAGTTAGTTGATAGGTTATAGTCTACGGCCGATAGTTAGTGATTTATAATTTATAGTTGATGGTTGATGACTTATAATTTATAAACTAATCAAAATGTTTGATAAAACTAACAGTTTAATTAGCTGATAAAATAAATGACAAAAAAAATATTTAATAATTCTTATTTTATTTTAAATTATAATAAATTATAAATGATAGTGATGGATTTTAGTTAAAACAAAGGTAAAAGTGAAATAAAAAATGATATGCTATGAATTATAAATTCAAACGCTATTTAAAATAGTGTAAGAAAAAGCTAATCAAATAAACTATAAATTTGTCATGAAAATATTATTACCAAATATGTCTTTTATTGTTATATGATTTATAAGACATAGTCATGTAAGCTCAAAAAAATATTTTACCAAACATATTTTTTTGATGTATTTAATGACTAAATATTTATCGTAAGACACATTTAAAATTACTTTTGTTTAAATTTTAATACATTAATAAAAGAGCCTGAATTTAGACCGGTCCATAGACAAATAGGTCTTAAAAATGAAACCATCCATTAAAATAGTCATTTTTAAAATTTAAAATTGACAATTACATCCTAACATTCTTAAACTTTTAGCAGTCAAATATTGATGTTTTTATAGAACATATCACGTTGTAGGTTAGCATTAAAATATTTCAAAAAGAAGATTCAATATCGTCAAACAATGAGCAACATATCCTCCATCATATCACACTTTATTTTTAAAATATTAATATGATATGTCAAATTGATATTTTTTTTATTAGACAAGTGTAAAATTATTTTATATTTAATACATATTCATTAAACTCTATTTCAAATATTAATTTATTAAAGACAAATTTATCGACAAAATTTACATTAACTTTTAAACTGATTAATTTATCAATAATAACAATTGAGCATGAATTAATTTTTGAGATCTTAAATGTTTATAAATATATCTAATTACATAAAAATAGTCAAGATTTAAATACATTTTTAATCTTCTATTTTGATAGTTTTTTAATTTTTAGTTCATCATTTTAAAAATAAATTTGTTGGTCTATGAATTTTAGATTATTTGAGATTTAGTTGACCTTTTCAATTTTGCATATATAACTGTGATGATAAGGACACAAAAAATTATTTATAACGAGTTGAAAATATTAACTAAAATAATTAATTAATTAATTTTTTAATTAATAAATTATTTATTTATTAATATTTTTAATTAAGTTTTTTTAAAAAATTTATATAAATATTTATTAATACAAATTTTAAAATAAATCTTTGTTGGACCCAAAATCATATTCTAACATTCATTCAATTCATTGACAGATGCATCTTAATTTTATAAACACTATTGTTGTTTGTCAATAAAACAATGTAGGAATCATTATAAATATCTTTTGGTTGAAAATTCAACTACAATCTATGAAGAATTTCACTCAATTAATCTTGATTTTAAGATTGTTTCACCCACGTAATAACAATGAAAGAAAAGTTTAAAAAGAAAGAAAGTAAAACGTTGAAGAAGATAAACAATTTTTCTATAGAGAACTCTCTACCCACAATCGGTGAATTATAAAAATGATGAGTTGTTTATAAAATAAGAGTTTCTCCCTATTATAGATTTAGGTTTGCTTGCATCTCAAGTAAAAGTGAAAGCTCAAAACTATGAAAACCCAAAACAACTAACATTATTAAAATAGGTTTAAGTCGAAATTTTGTGTGAAACAACTTGTTTCGATACTTCGACACACTAAACAACTCGACACACTAATACATTAAACTAATTTGTCTAATCCTTATTTTTTTTCAAACTACACTCTTTCGATACAAGAAATTACAAACTCTAACACTTTTTTCCATGCCACTGCTATCAGCAAGCTTTACTTCCAATTGTTTTGATGTTAAGCTTGTGTGCATATATTCCATTCCTATGTTTGAGCTTCATTTCCATTAAAACCATGGGATTGCGGATTGCCCATAGTTGGTAAATTTAATATGTACCTATTTTTCTTAAACAACCTTCATGCCTTGTCCATGTTTTGTAAAATTCAAAAGGTGTAAGTCATGTCCTGAGTGTGCATTCTGGATTAATTAAAATATGATGGTGATTTGAGTAATGTGTGACTGTTGTAGAACATGTGGCCTAGTGTATGTTGGATGTAGCCCTATCCAATTTTAGGGCCACATATCCAAGATTTGATATGCCATTGTTCCAAGTAAATTGTACTCCCTTTGTTTCTAAGTGTATAAGTTGATATGCGTTGGTCCATAACATGAAGTACTCACATGATGTTTTGTTTAGCAGCCTTCTACCTTTCTTTCATGAGAGCTTAAGACTGTATTAAAGTCTCCAACAAATAGTTAATTTTGTCCACAATTGTCTTCGGTTGATATAATGATTTCTAGCATACAATTCTGCTAGGTAGATTGTTGAGTTATTTGTATGTATCTCCACAGTGATGCATTGTTATGATGTATGGAGAATATTCACGTTCCAACTCTTGTTCCATAAGCCTGTCACTAACATCTTCAAAAGAAAAAAGCTCATTATTCTCTACCACGAATTTGAAACTTGTTTCTCCTTGCAGATATGGAAACGGTAGCATGTGAAAAATGCTAATTATGACCGATGTGAATAGTATGTCTAATAATGTCATATTAGTTAAAAATGTGAGGACTTGATCATTTATAAGTGGGATAATTCAGACCTCTATTATTTTAAAATTTTGAATAAATATGCATTGTGTCTCTCAAAGGTGTCTTGCTCTAAAAAAGTTTGATCTAAAGTGTTTTATTTAAAAATATCTATAATTTATTTATTTATTAATTAAAACAATATTATTAAATTAATTATCATTTCATTAAAAAGATATTTTTTATCCTTCAACGAGTGATAAGTAATTTGCAAAATTGAAGGGACTGTATATATTTATTTGTTTTTCAAATTTCGTAAATACATTTATTAATTTTCAAGATTTAGATTTGCTTTTACCAAATCTTATTAATTAAAAAAAGAAATTCTAAACCACATTCATTTCAAATATTGATTTAATATTAGAAAATCCTATTAATTAAAAAATTTGTAAATAAATTTAATTTTTAAACTTTCAATCCAATTCTAGTAAATCTTATTAATTAAAAAAATAATTTCCAAAATGCATTTGTTAATTCCAAAATTTAGATTCGATTTTGGTCAATCTTTTAATTAAAAAAAAACCCCAAATACATTTAATTTTCAAAATATAGATTCGGCTTTAGTAAATGTTATTAATTAAAAAAACATATTTTCCTTATTTAGGCTAAAAAAAGTAAATGTGAACGAAACAAAAGAGCAAACGTGTTGCTATAAATACACAATCAAGTACAAACCAAAGGATATGTCTTGTGGAAGCAACAACAAACCTCGGAAAACTTCTTCTTGTCTGTGTCACAATCATCGTCTTCTTTCTCTAATTCCATAATCATTTTCTCCACAATTTCTCAAAGTTTGTTATTTTTTCTTCAATTGTGTTTGTTCTCTATAATCGATAAAACTTTTCCAATTTTTGTCTTTTGGGTCGTCTTTCTCTGTTCCCTATTGAAATGGCAAATTGGAGAAAAAACCAAGGGATCAGTAATCATCAAGTGGGTCACTGGGGATCTTCCTCTTATAACGGAAAACCACCTTTGGGTAAGTGTTTTTTTGTTCCTTTTTTCGTTTGGATTTGTTTATTCTTCAGATTCTTGGTTTTAAATTTGGGAATTTTTTTATTTGCTGGTTTTGAATGAGAAATTTTGGTTCTGTGTATGGGTATGTATTACTCTTTTTGTGTTAATTTATGGTTTCTATAACTTGCTTTAATTTAGGTTCAATTTGTACTGTACTTGTTTGTGAATTTGACTATGGTGATGAAGGGTTTAGTTTATGTAATTTTGTTGTCAACAAAAGAAGCTAAGAGTTTGAATAATTGAAGGGAGTTTCTCGAAGGATATGAAATGTTGTCATTGATTTGGTTGGTAGGTTGGTAGGTTGTAATTTCTTCTTGTTGTTTTTCATTTTCATCAGGTTGGTTGTTTGGTTGGTCCCTACGTTGTTCAATTATTGAAATGGACAGTGGTGATAGATAACTACGGTTCTGTTTGTACTGGATTTTCTGCAGATTATGTTTGTAATCATTTTTGACTGTGTCGTGTTCTGCTTTGAATTCATGATGGCTATGGTTGTACTATTTCAAATTGAATACTTAGAAATCAAATCTATTTAGCTGTTTCAATTTGGTTATGTATGATCGCAAAGTATCTCTTGATTTTGGCAATGTTCAAGTAGGTATCTATTGGTTAGGCTCGGATCGCCGGGATGATGTGTAACATCATTGAATTGAAATAGAACAATCCATTCCAAAGATAACTAAATTTCCTGTTTATGTAACTACACTCATCTTTATGCTAACTCGATATATCGTTTTTCAAACTAAAACTGTCACGAATCTACTAATTAGTTTTTTTTTGGAGACATGTTTAATGTATCCCTATGTCATTCATTTATTGAATAGGAATGATTATCGGTTGATCTTTTATACCTTCCACTACGTACAAATTCGGTTTGTTTCGAATTTTGAAGAAACGTGTCTAAATTTGTCCATTCAATGGATATGTATTTATTCTTCTCCACAAGTTTTGAATGTTTTTTGCCCTTTTTCGACGTGAAGTTAGAAGTGAATTTTACTGTCATGCAATATCATTGTGATAATAAGTTATAACTTGAATTATCATTTGATTCTATTTATTTCTTTTGGTTCACAGATAATAGGTTTCCGACAGTTCCATCATGGGAAAAGAAGTTTTGTGCTTCGGTTGGCTCAGTTCCGTGGAAAAAAGTAATAGAAGTAAAGAGGTATATGCATATGCATTCCAATGTGGTAAACTGGGAAGACTCTGCTGTCAAAGAGGCTTTTGACAATGCAAAAAACAGGTTCTGGGCTGAGATCAACGGCTTTCACTGCGACATTCCGTTGCCTGATCCGAACATGTACATCGATGATGTAGATTGGGATGCAAGTGTTGATCCTGAACTCTATCTGGATTTGGATAGAGAATTAGAGGCCAGTCGGAGTATATTAGAAAAGAGCCAGGAGACTGTGATTCTGGGAAGTTCTCTTTTATTAAATCAGTCGTTATCAGGTCCTGGATGGGGAATAGAACCTACTGGATGGGGGGACGAAGAAGAAGTAACAAAGCCTCCTGAACCAAATCCGGCCTGTGGATGGGGATGGGGGACCCAAGAAGAAGTAACAAAGCCTCCCGAACCAAGCTATGCTGCTAATGGATGGGGATCAAACTACCATGAAAATAATGAAACCAACTCTTGGGAACAGAATGATTCTCAAAGGTGGATTCGGAAGGAGCAATATGGCGGTGACTTGCATGACAAGTATCAAGCAAGTAACGGTTGGAACAGAAATTGGGGAGCATGGGAAGGAAATAACAGAAGGAGAGAGAATAACATATCATGGTCTAAGAACCAAGGGTATCACCATGATAATAATGAGTATCGAGGAAGAAGAAATGGCGGAAGAGGGGGAGGAGGAGGAGGAAGGAGGGGAAACTATACTTATGCGCCCAAGGTAGCTGCAACTCCCAGTGCATGGTAAATTCCTTGGATTGCAAGAAAGTCCTATGAAGCTGCTAAAGGTTCAGTTTTGTCAAAGTAGCTGAGGATATAGGTTTTGTTATCTAGGTGTTATATAATATATGTGATATTCTATCATAAGAACTATGGCTTGTTACATCTTTGTTACATTCATCGGATGGGTTTATGGTCTATTGGTGTTTGTAGGATTAAGAAATATTTTTGTGGTGAGCAATGATTCAGTACATTAGTAGTACTGGTATTATTAAAGTATATCAATATGCAGTTACAATTAAATGAAGCTAAATTGTTTCATTCTTGTCTCCTTCAGTCTTAGTGTCTCTACATAGTTTTCCGACAAGTTTAAATCCTTTGAATAGAACTGAAAATCAGTTTGTGATATTCTTACAGAGAAAAATCTAGAGCATCATAACTCATAAGTATACATAAAAACACAACTGTTATAGGCTTGTTGGTGTTAGATATTATGTTACTGGTTTTGTGCATTTATCATCGATATTTCCACTAATCAAACAACAAAAGATCTTAGCTGTAACATCACTTTATAATCTTATTCAAATATGTGGCATTGAAGATGTTCAGTTTAAAAAATGTAAAATGAAGAGTTTAGAAAATGTGACTATATTGCTGGATGTATGAAGAAAGAAATACTAATGAAGATATAATAAGTTTATATTATCTGGACTAGCAAAAATATGACTAACTTGAATTATATATCCAAATTTAATTGCACTGAATAAAAATAAATAGTTAATAAACTGAACCACATCCTATATGATAGTTATAGGATGGTGGAGCAGTTTTGAGCTCTAGTCTGATTTATTTTTTGAGGTTATATGATGGTGGAGTAGTAGTTTTGAGCTCTAGTCTGATTTATTTTGAGGAGTCGTGACAATGGTCGTTTATGGAGGTTTCTCGGTTTTGGTACTCAGAAATGATTTTTTTTAGGTGTTTTTCAATATTGTTGCGTGTGTTGTTGTTCTACTTTGACATTAGTGCCTTGTTTTTTATTTGTTTACAATAAATTTTAAAAAAAAATATTATAAGGTTAAATATGTTTGAGATCCCTACAAATATTATTGAAATATTAGATCAAATTAGATTTAATATTTAAATATAATTTAAGTTGTATTAGCCCAAGCTTAATTAGAGTTGTATATAAATAGTCATAGTATGTATCATTATTTGTAACAATTCATTCAATAAATCTTTATTTCCTTATTTTCTCTCTTTCTCTCCTCACTAAAAGTGTCTCATGCACTAACAAATTGGTATCTAGAGCTTCGGTTAGATTCTTGATTGTGTTTTCCAGAATCACATGTCAGAGATCGTGTTTTTGGGATCGTGAGTTATTGTTGAACAATAGCTGCAAAGATAAATGGTAACGAAATTTTACCAAACTCCCTTTCAAGTCTTGACGACAAGAATTGGCTTCGAAGAGAAAATAGATGCAATCTCTATTTGGCTTTCATGAAACCCTAAAGTGGTTACTAATGGCGTTCATGCGTTTGGTGAAGATGCAACTGAAGCACGGAGAACCGCTCACAAGGATGCCAAGAAGAAGGATTGTAAGGTGGCGTTCTACATCTAATCGTCGGTTGATGCGGTTAATTTCGACAGACGCTCATTCTGAATCAGCGAAGGAGACATGGGATATTCTTGTCAAGTACTATGAAGGAGGCGAAAAAGTTATGGTTGTCAAGTTGTAAACTTTGCAACGATAGTATGAATTGTTGTCAATGTGAGAAGATAAAAAGATTGCAGGCTATGTGCCAAAGATGCAGAAACTCGTCCATCTTATGAAGGGTTGTGGTGAAACTCTAACTGATAAGATGATAGTTAAGAAGGTAATGCGTATGTTGACCTCCCACTTTGATCACATTATCGTAGGTATTCAAGAATCCAAAAATCTTGAACCTGAAACTGAAAAATTTGGTTGGTTCGTTAGAAGCGCATGAGATTAGGATTGTCGAAAGGAAATAAGTTCAAGACTCGATACAAGCACTACAAGCTCAACCATGGAAGAAGAATGGTGGTTATAACAAGTTCAAAGGCAAAATCGACAAGACTCAGGGAAAGAAGTTTTGGTCAAATCCTCACAAGAATAAGATCGAGGATAGAATTTTCGAATCCTCGAAGAGAGGAGAAGAAAATTCCTATCAGAAAGACAAAGTAGAGAAAAAAGGTGTGCAGTGCTATAATTGTGAAAAATGGGGTCACTTGTCAAAGCATTGTTGGTACAGGAAAGACAAGGGTTCGACAAAAGACAAGGACGAAGGAGAAAATCTTGCACGTCAAGATTTAGATGATTCTGATGATATGGTGGTTATGGCTGCAGTTGCAGATGACCATGTCGAATCCATGATCTGGTTCCTCGACTCAGGTTGCTTGAATCACATGACTGGTCGAAAAGTATGGTTAGTAGATTTTGACGATTTGAAGAAGAGCAAGGTCAAACGTGCTGATAATAGCTTGTTGCAAGCAGAATATACTGACACCATAGTTATTCAAAGGAGTAATAAAGCAAAAGCCTTGACCAAAGATGTACTTTATGCTCCTAGAATAAAGTGAAATCTGCTAAGTGTTGGACAATCGTTCGAAAAGGGGTTCTTAGTGGTTATGAAAGATGGAGTGTTAGCACTTTTCGACATCCAGAATAAATTGGTCTTGAAATATCCTTTATCGAAGAATATAATATTTAAGACCATGATCAGTTTGTCTGAGGTACAATGTCTATAAACAGTTGTCGACCACAAGAATAGTTAGTTGTGGCATCTGAGGTTTGGCCATCTTAACTTTAGGTCGCTAAATCAACTGATCACTCAAGATATGGTAGTTGGTATACCAAGTCTTGAGATACCCAACAAACTCTACAAAGGTTGTCTAGTCGGAAACCAGTCCAGGGAGTCTTTTGTTTCGACTATGCTAATGAGATCATCCCGCATACTCGAAGTTGTACATTCAGATGTATGAGGTCCTTTCGAAGAGCATACCATTTGTAGAAACAGGTATTTCGTCTCATTTGTCGATGAGTACAGTCGAAAGCTCTGAATCTATGTGATCAAATGAAAGGATGAAGCATTTGAAATATTTAAGAGATTTAAGATACTTGTCGAAAACCAGGGTGAAAAAAAAAATTAAAGTTCTGTGAATAGATGAAGGTGACGAATACACATCCAAGATATTTGAAGCATTTTGTGCAGAACATGGTATTAATCATGAGATAACTGCTCCTTATACTCCTCAACATAATGGAATAACGGAAAGAAGAAACAAGACTATATTGGACATGGCGAGATGCATGCTGAAGCAGAAGAATTTGCCAAAATCCTTATGGGAAGAAGTTGTTTCGACTACTGTTTATATTCTAAACAGATGCCCTACTAAGAAGCTAAAGAACAAGATTCCTGAAGAAATGTGGAGTGGAAAATGACCATCAGTGAGTCATATGAAGGTGTTTAGCACTATTTTCTACAAGCATATTCCTGATACTAGGAGAAGGAAGATTGATGATAAGAGTGAACCTATGATTCTGGTAGGATATCATAAGACTGGAGCATACAGGTTGTTTAATCCAATTAATCATAAGGTTGTGATGAGTCGAGACATTGTGATTGATGAAAATTATGTTTGGGATTGGAATTCTAGTAATGCAATTGACAAGCCATTGATGAGCTATGATTTTGACGAATCAAGTAATGATGTCGAAGTCGAAGATATTGTTGATACTCCAGTCGAAGAAGAAGTTGAAGAAGTTGTTGACATTCTCGACACATTCGAAGTAGAAAAGGATATGGATGGCACAAGTCAGATACCTCAAAGAACTAGAGCTTATTCAGCAAGACTTCAAGACTATGAAGTGGTTGGTGATGATGAAGTTACAATATATGGGGAACTAATCCATTTTGGTTTACTTGCAGGTGTTAAACCAATCAACTATAGTGAAGCCTTCAAAGATAAACAATGGAAGCCTCCTATGGTCGAAGATTTACAAGAAATTGAAATAAATAACACATGGGAGTTGGTCGAATTGCCAGCTCATACAAAAGTTATCAAAGTAAAGTGGATGTTCAAGTTGAAACACAATGTTGATGGGTTGATAGCAAGACATAAGGAGAGACTGGTCGCTCGAGGATTTCTCCAGAGAGAAGGGCTCGGCTACTATGAAGTATTTGCACCTGTTGTAAGATTGGAAACTATTTGACTAGTGATGGACTTGGCATGCAAGCAAGGCGGGTCAACATTTAACTTAGATGTGAAATCAGAATTTTTGAATGGACCTTTAGAAGAAGAGGTGTATGTCACACAACCTCCTAGGTTTGTGATTCAGGAGAAATTAAGTAAAGTATACAAATTTCACAAAGCACTCTATGGTCTCAAGCAGGCACCTAGGGCATGGAACAAGAAAATCGATTCATACTTGGTTGAATTGGGATTTGTAGAATGAAAATCTGAGCATGGTGTCTATCTTCAAGTTGTGGCACAAGATATAACAATAATCTGCTTATATGTTGATGTCTTTCTAGTAACTGGAAATAGCCTGAAGAATTTGTCGAAGTTCAAAGAGCTGATGAAGAAAGAATTTGAAATGTCAAATCTGGGAAAGTTTTCATACTTCCTAGGCATGGAATTTCAAACTTTGAAGCAATGTACGGTTCTATATCAAAGAAAGTATGTCAAAGAGATACTCAAGAGATTCAAAATGGATGCTTCGACTCCTACATCTTCGCATATCGAACCAAATTTAAAGTTGGAGAAGCATGGAGAGAAAGACAAAGTCGATGCAAATTTGTTCAAACAGATTATTGGATCTCTAAGATATGTGTGCAACAGTTGACCTAATATATGTTTCTCAGTCGGATTAGTGAGCAGATACATGAGTGAACCAATGGTGTCACACATGAAGGCTGCAAGAAGAATTCTGAGATACTTAAAAGGATTGACAAACTATGGAATTTTATTTCGACGAGACTCTAAAAGCAAAGAAGATATGGTTACTTG